ATTTTCAAGCAATATTCTGTCCTGGATTGGGATCACACATTTAGTTAGCTCTCATGACGAGTGAGTACGGCCGAGACACAGAGCCATCTGTGGTAGTTGATGCTCCAATGGGGCCACTTGAGAAGGCTTTATGTTGTCACCAAGTGTGCTGGGTAACAAGCCAGCCCTTCCCTCTGCACATATAACACTTCAAAAGGGTGTGCATAGCCCGATTGTGCTGGTACCTCCTTTTAGGCAAATTGTTTAAGGTCATTATGAGTTTAATTCTCAGTCACTCCAGAAGGAAAATTGTAACCATTACCCTCGCACTGTCAAAGGACGCTGTGATTAATTACAGTCATGTTAGACATAGCTATGAAAATGGAGATTGTCCTATGCTTGCTTAAGGGAAATAAAGTCCGTCACAAAGGCAGTCACAGTGGTCCCTTCACTGTACCCTGTGTTGGGATTCACTTCCAGGCTGAAAGAAAAACAATGACTAAAGATTGCATCTTGAGATTACATGTTCATTTTAGCCTCGTTTTCGTCTTTGTGTGTGTGCACCTTCCTGTGGAGGCCAGACATGAGTTTAGGTGTCATTCCTTGGAAGCTATCTCCCTTGTTTTGTTGAGACAGGTCGTGCCACAATGGCCAGCAGCTAACCCTCCTGTTTCTGCTTATGCCACAGTCCCCAGCTTTTGTTGTCATTGTTGTTGTTCTTTTTAGTATGGGTGCTAGGAATCCAAACTCAGGCCTCCATGCTCATGGAGTAGGCACTGTACAGGGTGAGCCATGTCCCCAGTTCCTTAAACTGATATTTTTATAACTTCAAAAATTAATAAAATCCCCACTGAAATAATGTGCTTTGTAATCAAAATACCAGAAGAGTTAGGAGGCTGGAGAGATAGCTCGGTGGTTAAGAGCACTGGCTGCTCTTCCAGAGGTCCTGAGTTCAATTCCCAGCAACCACATGAAGGCCCATGACCATATTTAGTGGGGGTATCATGCCCTCTTCTGGCATAAAGGCATACATGCAGATAGAGCGCTCATACATAAAATACATAAATTGGAAAGGAAGGAAGGAAGGAAGGAAGGAAGGAAGGAAGGAAGGAAGGAAGGAAGGAAGGAAAGAAGGAAGGAAGGAAGGAAGGAAGGAAGGAGTCTTGTTTAGGGAAACAGTATTGGATCTCAGAGTGGACACAACCCTTGGCCACAATACCCAAAGAAGGTATGCTTAAAACGAACAGAGAGAGCAAGATGTCAGTGTCTTTTAAAGTTTTATCTTTTAAATAACAGAGACTGATATCTGGAAATACTAAGAATGTTTAACACCTTGCCAGGCAAACTGGCACATATGTGCAGCCCTAGCAACCTGAGGGGCTGAAGCTGGAGAATTGCTCAAATCTAAGAGTGTGATACAGCTATACCAGACACACACACACACACACACACACACACACACACACACACACACCTTGATTTGTATTGATTGTGGAGAAAAATAATTCCATCCCTTCCCAAGAAACTCATTATTTCGGTTTAAGGATACAAGAAAGATGTTTCATATAGCATTTATCTGGATAAAAAGAAAAAAATTAAACATCTATACCCCATTGGGTCTCCTAATGCTTCCAGATGCTCCAAGATTGTGACATATTTGGTATAGAAACCCATACAGTGTTGACAGTGAGACATGCTTGATTTTTATCTGGGGGGACAGGATGGAGGGTTGGTGTCATATAACCCTCCTCACAAGCCAAAGAAACAAATCAGAAGCCAGAAGCCGGTGAGCAAAGATGAGTTCCAGACCCCATCTTTTGTTGCTCACTGATCATACCACATATGCAGCCCAGAACTCTGCTATTGTAGCCAGAGGAACACTGCGGAGATAAAGCAGGGTTAGTGAAGGCAGTAAAGAATTGAAGTACAAATTAAAATGGATGCAAACTAAAATACAAACAGATGGGGCAATAATGCCTGCAGTATTGTGGAAGCTACACAGTCTTTTCATGGGTATTCATAGGATGGCACAACCTAAGGATTTTTTTCTAAAAAGAGGGCAAACCTGAACATGGGAATGGGGGGGGCATCCTACTAAAACAAAATCTGAGCAACCCAAAAGCCCTAATAAAATCATTTAAATCATACAAAAACCTCTCCTCTTTTTTCCCTATTTAATACTACATTTTTATTAACTGTTCATTTCACACATATGTATAATATATTTTGATCATATTCGCCCCTAAACTTCTCCTCCTGGATCTCCCCTCCACCCTCTCCCAACTTTGCCTTTTTGTTTTTAATAATCCACCGAGTATATTTTGTGCTGCCCATATACTCACACATGTGAGGCTACACATTGAAGTGTGATTGACCTACCAGAGCCTCTTGCATCCTAAACAATGCCTGTAGAAACGGAAACACTTGGCCCTGCCTGTTGTGGACCTGAGAAAAGATGTTTGTAATATTAGCTATAACTTCCTTCCAAAGCACCCTGCAAACTGTGGCAGAATTCACCTAGGCAGGAGGACAACTGTTGTGGAAGCATTTCTTCATCCCGAGAGGGAAGAGGGCAGGAAGCCCCCAGCTGGCTGGCTCAAGATCTGCAAACCCTGGCCAACTTCTGTGTTCACACATGGACAAAACAGATGCAGGGTGGTTCAAAGCCCAATGGCAGGCTGCTCCTAGGCCTTGTAAGTCTTGGAGGCCGGGCTTTGGAATTCCTGGGACTTTGTGCATAGTGCATACACACACACACACACACACACACACACACACACACACACACACATACACACACACCGTAGAGACTGGATACACACAAATTTCTGCCATGATATAATATAGTGGTTCTCTTTCTCCATATAAACCCTATCTTCCTTCAACTCCATGCTGAACTCTACCCTTTCTCATTATTTGCAAATCACCTCTTGGAAATATTTCGCCCCAAAAAAGCTCACTTTAAGACTCATGCCACACCTCTCCATGGACTTCACACCTCTCTCCTTGAATGACTAATTTTTAGAAGAGTTTAGGCTTAAGGAATATTTCTGCTTAGAATGAAATTAATATCAGTGATAAGATGCAAAATCTAACTTTATCACAGGTTTACACAAATGTCCGTGTATATCATATACATACGCATGTATGCTTGCATGTGTTGTGGTTTAAAGTGGTATGTTTGGCTGACGGGGTGAACTTCTGGTAGCAAATCTTCAGTCATTCTAACTGGAGTCAGAATCTCCTAACAGGTTCAAGCCCATCAGTAGGTGTTTCCAGAACCATTCGCTGAAGAGGGAAAGCCTACCCCTTCACATGCTGGTGGGCTGAATAAAGAGGTGGGAGGAGACAAAGCCAGCCTAATGCTATCTCTCCTCCTTTCCCTGTATCCTGATTCTCTCCACTACATCCTTGATTGAATGAATGAACTTGAACTGTGAACCAGTCAGCCCTTCCTTCATTAAGTTATTCTTTCAGGTATTTAAGTCACAGTAACAAAAAGCTTAGATAGTATGTAAACACAGGTGTTACAGATATGGACACCGTGTGTTTTATTTGTGTTTATATAGAAATGTGTGTACATCGGATTTTGCTTTCTGTTGCTATAACAGCATACCTGATGCTGTGTAGTTTATAAAGGAAAGAGGTTTATTTTAGCCAATCATTCTAGAAATCCAAAAGCATAACACCAACATCTGCTTGGGTTCTGTTAAAAGCCTCAAAACAGGGAGTAGAAGAAAAATTGGTCATAATTAGAACAATTGGTCATAATTAGAAAGGGACAAAGAACATGCCTAGGGGAACCCGCTCTTGATAGAACAAATCAACTTCCATGAGAACTGTTTCATGAGTCCTTCAAGGCTCCACATCACTATCCTGTTACACTGGCAACCAAACTAGGTTGCCTAGGTTTTGGCAAAACAAACTACATCCAAGCCACAAAACCAGTCAGCCTGAGCTGTTCATTTGTTAACTCTAAAAGTACCTAGTTAAAATATGGTCATACACTCTGAAGGTTGTTCGGATTCATTTTTAACAACTTAAGCATTTACTGAGAGCTTTAGTATGTACAGACTACCATCCCCACCAAGGTGCCATAGAAGACCAAGGCCTGAACAAAGGCATGGTCCCTGCCTTCAGAGATCAGTCCGCAAACACTGTCTACTGACTACTTAGCACCATACTTGTACTGCAGTAGGGAGTGCTGGCTCAAGGACATCTGCCATGCATCACAGATAATAACAGCCAGATTTCATCAGAGGTCCTGGACATGGCATCCCGCCATGGAGGGACTGATTGCAATGATACAGTGCTAGGTTTATAAATTAAGTACAATGTCCAGCCGTTGGTGTGTGGTAGGAAAGAACTCTCAAGTCTGGACCAGTTCCCTAGATGTTATCAAAAGAAAACAACACTCTAAAAAAATTGTGATTTTTCAATACTGGGCCCAAAGCAATGATCGTGTTTGTAACCTCCTGCTAGTTTAACTCATTAATAATTTACAGTAATGTGGGCTCCAACTTCTACTTAACTGCACTTCAAAGGGTTAGAGTCGCATTTACCAGTTTTATTTAATGTAGCCATGATTAATTCACTAAGTAATTATTTTTTTTCTTTGTCCTTTTGGGGGAGGAGTTTTGAGTGATTTACATAGGGTGTTGTTCTCCACTGGAAAATCTTTAAAGCAAGCACATTTTGCACTCTCTCTCTCCCTTTGTCTCTCTATTTCTCTACCTCTGTCTCTCTCCCTCTCTTCCTCTCTCATCTATTGCTTTTAGTTTGCAAATTTTAATTAAAACAGTTTTGAATAAATGCCAGGCTGTCTTTCTGCTTTATAAAACCTTCTGAAAGAACAGTTCATCTATTCCCTTGTCCTTGTATCTAAGAATTTGCTAAATTAATTTACTGGCAAAGAGAATCAATCACCGTAAGCAGTATTTAAACAATTCTGGGTACTCCAATGGGTGAAACATGGCCAGCCCTGAAATGACCAAGTGTTTTCTATCTCATTTTGGTAACAGGTCAATGGACGAAACCTCCTTTCAGTTGACTTTGATCGGACCACCAAGACGGAAAAGATCTACGATGACCACCGGAAATTTCTACTGAGGATCGCTTATGACACATCGGGACACCCAACTCTCTGGCTGCCTAGTAGCAAGCTGATGGCTGTCAATGTCACCTACTCATCCACGGGTCAGATTGCCAGCATCCAGCGAGGAACTACTAGTGAAAAAGTGGATTATGATGGACAGGGGAGGATTGTGTCTCGGGTCTTTGCTGATGGTAAAACATGGAGTTACACATACTTAGAAAAGGTATGCCTGTGTTCTGGTTCAAATGGGGAAGGGAATGATTAGCATTTTCCAAGAATCACATGGAGCAGGATGAAAAGGAAAAATAGGGACACATGACTGAGTTCCATTTGTTAGTCTAAGTATCCCTATGGCAGTCACAGGGGTGCAGGGTGATGAATTTCTGTATTAGCAGAGTAGCTTTGCCTTAGTTAAATTCTACTATCTGAGACACTTTTAAGTGATTTATTCTGTAAACAAACAAGCACTAGCACTATGCACCTGCCAAGCTCTTCCACTGACAACATTCACAAATTAGACCCAGAGCTTGCAAGTCATTTGTAAATAATTTCTGCTCTGGCTCTTTCATTTAAGAGAGAGCTTGCATTAGTACAGTTAGAACTGTCAGTTGTGTGTTGTCCCTGGCAGAGCTTCAACAGAACCATAAAAAGCATGTAGGGCCTATTTATGCATTATTAACCAAAAGAGGCTATTTTCCTAGAAAGCCGTACTTTCAGATACCGAGTGATGTCTCTCTTTCATTTGCATGTGAGATAAGCATCCTGACTTGGGCGCTTTCCCATTCCTCAGAACTGTGCACAATGGCACAGATGGAGATGTAGAACTTGGAGATTTACATGTGTGTAAGGCGCTAAGCTGTAGCCTGTGCAGCCTGAGGTTTGGGCTGGGGTCAAGAGCAATGAAGGAAAAAGGGGTACTTCCTGTAACTTGGGAGAAGAGAGGGTACTTCCTGTACCTCACTTTTTAAAGAATAGAATCTACTGACGACCATTCCCACGGATGCTTCATCTGCCTTTGGGACAAGCGTCAGTCACAGAAAGGGATTTGAGTTCTTACTTGCCTGAAATCTTCCAGTGTGGTATTCCCAATTACACGGTGCCTACATCACAACCCCAGCTCTTGACATTCACTGCCCCCAGCCCTGTGGACTTTGAAAGTTAAACAAGGAAAGGTCTGTCCCCCAGAACAGTCATGAACCACTCAAGTCACTGCTGCGGAACCTCAGCAGTTGCAGTCTCTGCTCTACAGAGCCCCTTGGTCTAAACCTAACCCTTTGTGCCTGAGCCACCCAACCCCGAACCAGACTCAGAGATCGAGATAGGACGATACTTTCACTTCAGGCACCATGCCAACTCTAATGCCCAGCAGGGATCCTCCTGGCCAGACTTAGTCTCCTCTCCTTAGAAGAGACTGTGGGCCATGGACTGTTAAATGACAAACTCCTTCCTGCCACATCATCACACTGCAGCCACTCAGCAGCTATCTAGAGACCATGAGCTAAGCTTGCTCTACACATACCTACATAGGAATGTGTTCTGCCACCTGATAGCTATTTCATGCTCCAGTCTAACTAGCCCCAAGGGGACTTCTACAAGTAGGAGATGGGAACATTTACCCCATTTAGACTAAGTGCATGACAGGGAGTAGTAATAGAAATAGAAATACCCCAGCCTCCACAAACAGTGGGTGCCTTAATGTGGCTTAAAATGTTCAAAAGAAAGCAAAAGGAGCATTGCTGATTAGAGCCCCTTTCACACAGTGACAAAAGCAGCTATGAAAGTTGTCTTCATATATGTATGAAGATGAAAAAAACCCAATGATATCTTCCTTCTTATCTCCTAAGTCCCTAAAATCCTCCTAGACTACATTTGCCTCCTTACTAGGATAGGCACACTAACCCCAAACTTATTCACAGCAAGACTAGTAGTAATTTACTAATTGCGATCAAATATGACTTTAAATGCCTGCAAAACTAACTCCCAAGGAGATGGGTTGTTCAAGCCGTCCTCAGAAGAATACAAGCCATGCATTAGTCGGCTTTCTGTTACTGTGACAAAACACCTGAGACATAACCTTTTCAAAAGAAAGATTTTAGCTCTCAGATGACTCATTCCACCATGACTTGGCTGCACTGTTACAGGGTCTGTGGTGAGATAACACAATGGGGGAGCATGTGTCAAAGTTGCTCATCTCTTGGTGGCCAGGAAGTAAAGGAAGAAGTAAGGGTTCTAATGTCCCCTTCGAATGGCATAACTTCCTTCCATGAGTCCCTGCCATTTCAAAGTTTCGCTGCCTCCCAGTAGTACCACAGGCTGGTAACCAAGCTATCAACATAAGGTCTTTGGGGGGCATTTCAGATCCCAACCATAACAACCTACATATAAAAATTGTCACTGCTCATGGTCGGAGACTCTTCAGGAACCTAAGAAAAAAAACAGTTTTTAGATGCAGTAGGAAATGAAAAGAATGAGTCTTGACCAAAGATTATGAAGCGTTTCCATGCCAGAATCAAGAGTAAGTCCCAGGGGCTCCCACCTCACTATCCGCCCTGTTTTTTAACAGGGGTCAGAAGAAGCTGTATCGCAGGAAAAACCACTCCAGGCCTGCATTACAGTTGAGTCTTAGTCGGGCAACCTCAGAGTTGACCTTCTCTTCTATTGGTTCGATAAGTCAATGTCAGTTATCTTTCTGTAGTGACCTGGGTGGGGGAGTATATATTATTTTTATTTGTATGTTTTTTCCTTCATAATTTAATACCAACATTTGCCCACAATGCCCAGAAACCATTATTGTAGTTCCTGAAGTGCAATTCAGATTTGGTGTCTGCAAAAGGGATTGTCAAAATATTAGAGTTGTCTATACAGAGCCCAGATCTAGACACCATGTCTAAATCCATATTTCTGTGAAGTGCATTTACAACTCTGACTCTCTGTGTGGCTGATTTGGCCCTGTTTGTTGACATTGATGCTTTATGGGCACATTATCCATTTTAGGCTAATTTTGTACCTCTTCTTCATAAATAATATTTTGGCTTTGTTCCTCCCCCAAATACACAAGAAATTAAACCCAGATTTGAATAGCTCTTCAATCAAATGAGGGGAAAGGGCCACCTTCCTAAATAATTGCTAATTATAGATAGGATTGCATCCCCCCCCCCGGCTTTTTTCCCCTTGAAATACTGTCTTTAAACCAGCTTAGTTTGTGCCTGCATTATGACTTCTCCAAATCCATTGACAATCTGCTGGTTGGCTGGGAATGCCTGGAAAAAGAATGGCACAATCATGACAAGTAGCACATTATGGATCTTAAGCCACTAATTGCAGAACCCTTCACAATTAAGCATCCAAGCAAATTAGGCAGGAATCATTAACACCGTGTAAGGTCAAGGATAACTCAATTAAAATGAAAACCATTTTCTCAGGCAGAATGTTCCTATGTGTTTGTGGTCACTAAATCTGCTCTTGTGCCCTCCCTCCCCATTTCATAAACCCTGGATAACAGCCTCTGTTCTCTTTACAGTCCATGGTTCTCCTGCTCCATAGCCAGCGGCAGTACATCTTTGAATACGATATGTGGGACCGCCTCTCTGCCATCACCATGCCCAGTGTGGCTCGCCACACCATGCAGACCATCCGGTCCATTGGCTACTACCGCAATATCTACAACCCCCCAGAAAGCAATGCCTCTATCATCACGGACTACAATGAGGAAGGGCTGCTTTTGCAAACAGCTTTCCTGGGAACAAGTCGGAGGGTCTTATTCAAGTATAGAAGGCAGACCAGGCTATCAGAAATTTTATACGATAGCACAAGAGTCAGTTTTACCTATGATGAAACAGCAGGGGTCCTAAAAACAGTAAACCTTCAGAGTGATGGTTTTATTTGCACCATTAGATACAGGCAAATTGGCCCCTTGATTGACAGACAGATTTTCCGCTTTAGTGAAGACGGAATGGTAAATGCAAGATTTGACTATAGCTATGACAACAGCTTTCGAGTGACCAGCATGCAGGGTGTCATCAATGAAACTCCACTGCCCATTGATCTATACCAGTTTGATGACATTTCTGGCAAAGTTGAGCAGTTTGGAAAATTTGGAGTTATATACTATGACATCAACCAGATCATTTCCACTGCCGTAATGACTTATACGAAACACTTTGATGCTCATGGCCGCATCAAGGAGATTCAATATGAGATATTCAGGTCACTCATGTACTGGATTACAATTCAATATGATAATATGGGCCGGGTAACCAAGAGAGAGATTAAAATAGGGCCCTTTGCCAACACTACCAAATATGCTTATGAATATGATGTTGATGGACAGCTCCAAACAGTTTACCTAAATGAAAAGATCATGTGGAGGTACAACTACGACCTGAATGGAAACCTCCACCTGCTGAATCCCAGCAGCAGCGCACGCTTGACGCCTCTTCGATACGACCTTCGGGACAGAATCACACGTCTGGGCGATGTTCAGTACCGGTTGGATGAAGATGGCTTCCTTCGTCAGAGAGGCACAGAAATCTTTGAATACAGCTCCAAGGGGCTTCTGACTCGAGTTTACAGTAAAGGCAGTGGCTGGACAGTGATCTATAGGTATGATGGCCTGGGACGGCGTGTTTCCAGCAAAACCAGCCTGGGACAACACCTTCAGTTTTTTTATGCTGACCTGACATACCCCACTAGGATTACTCATGTCTATAACCATTCCAGTTCAGAAATCACTTCCCTCTACTACGATCTCCAAGGACATCTTTTTGCCATGGAGATCAGCAGTGGGGATGAGTTCTACATCGCCTCAGATAACACGGGGACACCACTGGCTGTGTTTAGTAGCAATGGGCTTATGCTGAAACAGATTCAGTACACTGCCTATGGCGAAATCTACTTTGACTCCAATATTGACTTTCAGCTGGTAATTGGATTCCATGGAGGCTTGTATGACCCACTCACCAAATTAATCCACTTTGGAGAAAGAGATTATGACATTTTGGCAGGACGATGGACAACACCAGATATTGAAATCTGGAAAAGGATTGGAAAGGACCCGGCTCCGTTTAACCTGTATATGTTTCGGAATAACAACCCTGCAAGCAAAATCCATGATGTGAAAGACTACATCACAGGTAAGGGCTTTTTTTTTTCTTTCCAAGTGCTAAATTACTATTACCATTAGATTAATACACAAAGTAACTAGAATTGACCTTTCGGATGTATTCATTTCTCTAAGGATCCATAGAGAAACCACAAAGGGAAAATGAAATACAGTTACTTCCTACTCTGCCTGACTATGCTCAAGGCCATGGTTTCTGAAATGACACGGAATTCAATCATCTGAGGAAGGGAGAGATACAGAGAGCAGAAAACACGCTAAATTCAGAGTCCCGAAACTGAAACACCAACTGCTACAGTGCTGCAGCTTTATAGTCTGATTTTTCCCCCTGGTCCTGGTTGCCATGTTGGTTCACTGTCACCACAACAAAATGTCCAAGATAATCAAAGAGGGAAGGTTGGTTAGGACCCAGGGCTCGGGAGTCCCATTAGCTCTGGTGTTTCAGACCTGCAGCAAGACAGCATGTAGCAGGTTGACTGCATGAAGTAGCAAACCAGTCATATTAGCAGCCAGGAAGTGGAGGGGGTGGCAGAAAAAGAGATCAGAATCCCATAATCCCCTTCAAGGGCATTCCACAAGGACGTGAAGACTTCCCACATGCTTCCCAGCAGTACTACTCCAAGAATCCAGTCTTTCAGCGGGTGCACAGGTAAAAAGGCATTTGGCACCTGATCCATGGCCTTCACAATGAAATGGACTGGCAGTGGCTGCCTGTGGCATCAAATCCAAGAGTGTAGAACTATGCATCAGATAGCAACTACCTTGCAAGGGGTTCCCCCCATACATATGTACATTTATAATGGAAATAATCCCTGACAGATGCCTCACATCCTCCTCCACACCTTCACCTCAGGACAGTAATGGAGCAGTTTCTCCCTGTCAATCACTCTGTCTTTGGCTAATGTCCACATTATCTTTATTACTAATGTGGAGTGATGTCCAGGCCACAGAGTGAGGGCCTTTCTAAAGGTGTAATCCCTGTGACTCTTTTGGAAATGAAGATTTAAAGAACCAGATTGTACTTCTGCTACCACAGAGGCATGTGATAAAACACAGATAGGACCTTACAAGTCTCGCTATGGTCCCCATACTGGACTGACATTGTCTTCCACTGGCTTTCTCCAAGAATTTTAGCTTCCCCTGCTTCTGGCCTTCCATCTCTGGTTTATAATGTCATAATTCAATATATGCTTCTCAGAGGAAGGGCTCTTTCTTTCTCTTTAGTTGTTTTGCTTTTTTTCTACTGTGTTTTGGCTTGTGTTGCATGCAGCCCAATCAGCCTGCCTCCTTTCCAGTCAGTATTTGAAGCACACCAAGATCTCCTTTCGGTTCTTAGGGCCAGTGTCAAAAATGCTACCCCTTTCCAGACAACACAGAGCTTTTCCTAACTCCCTTCCAGGGGCCCAGCTGTAAGTCCCTTCCTTCAACTTCACCAACCACTGACTCAGCAACACCCTGTGGTGTTCTGTCAGACCGTATTCACATTCAAAATGCCATTCTCTTGATAGGCTGTGCTTTTCAAAACTAAAGACTCCTGGTTTCATGTGAGCACACATTGTTCAGGGTACAAGAAACTCTGCCCTCAATTCATCAGCACGTGGGTAACAGAATTTCCCCCCAAACTTAAGGCCTCCCTATAGCATGTAGACACTCTCACAGGAAGGTAGCACTTTCTATCCCCTGTGAACCCTGCAGGGACTTCCCCCCACATACACTCTGCCACACCATTTAACAGAGAGAACCCCCGCTGGTTTTGTAGCCATGTGACACCTGGACAAAGGACCTGCCAGCCTGGCAATGAGGTGAGAGTTTGTGCCCTAGAGAAGGAAATGGGAAGCAAGCAGCTCTCCATCATTCTGACAAGCAGTTTACCAGTGGTTATTTGAGGGGTGCTGACAAGGGCTGACTAAAAGAATGGAAAGCCCACAGCTCCCGAATTCATCTTCTCCTAGCAACACGGACTGCAGGGAATGCGGAATGCCACTGCAGCACTTTCAGAAAAAACATCAAAAGAGAGATGGAACGGCATAAAATATATTAGGTGAAATGCAATTTCAAATTTTCCAGCAATGTGCTTAATATATAAAATAATCTACACCCAACCGTACTCATAAAGCGGCGAGCCTGCTGAGTGGCTCTGTAAATCACAACCTCCAGAAGGGAAGAAAAGCCTTATTCTTTGCTTAATGGCTTTCAGGGTCACGTGACAATGTTTGAAAATACCACTCTTAAAGGTTCCCATGTTCTCTTCCCCCAAAAGTTGGTCTCCACCATTGCACATCGAACCTTTGAAGTCAAAGCTAATGGAAGTCAGAGCACCAGTGCCCTTGGCCAGGGTTGCCAGCTTCCTGTATTCATTATTGGTTGAGAATCAACTCATTTTAATACTCTCCATCTAGGGCTTTATGCCCCCAATAGAAAATGGCTTGTGGAAGTCCCAGTGTCTTTGCACAATTACTCTTGAAGGCTAATCACACACCTTCTACTTAAGACCCACCTTTCCTAAGCATGAACTTCATTTGTTTTCTGCATCTGTGTCTGGAATTCTCACGCTGCTGTGAGTGTTGCTATTGCTGTTTTTATCACTGTTACCTGCACAGGATGCAATTTTGCTTTTCTGACAGTTTATCTATCCTGTCTAAGTGAGTATCTATTACTCTCCATTTTCTGCAGGATTTGCCATAGTTCTGTTATTGAAGTTACTGTCTGCATGTCTAAAAATAGACCTCGGATTTAAAATGGTAGGAGGAAGGCAGATTCGGGGTCCTTTTGAAATGAATATTTGTGAAATTGGTATTTTTTTTCTTTAAGGTAAGGATGTAAATTTGTGAAAGGGCCCAATAAATTCTTAACACCTTTGACTCTGCGTGGTCTTCTTCCAGATGTTAACAGCTGGCTGGTGACATTTGGCTTCCATCTGCACAATGCTATTCCTGGATTCCCTGTTCCCAAATTCGATTTAACAGAACCTTCGTACGAGCTTGTGAAGAGCCAGCAATGGGATGATGTGCCGGTAAGAACCAGAAAGCAGAACGAAGGGAAGGCGATGAATGGCAGACTTGTGTCCTGTTTACCCACAGCCCATTGAATACCCTGGTGAAACTGTACCAGAAACAGGTTTTCTGTGTCTTTTTCACACTTTTGAGGAAGGAAAATTGACGGTTTCTGCTGCATTGCTGTTCAGCATGCTAGGGGCCTGTTGAACAAGCCAAATCTGTTTCTAGGGATGCTAATAAAAACATGGAGATACACTATCAAGGTTTAGTAAAATGCAGAAGTGATTTCTTGTGTAAGGCTTCTACAGAGAACCCCAGGAAAAGCATTTGTTGCACCTGGGAGCTGAAGGTGAGACTTGATAAACAGGAGAACAGGGATTCAGATTTCAAATTAGCAACCCATGGACAGTACCAGGAAAGCATTTGCAGAAAAGCAAAAATAAAAATGTCCTCTAGTAAGACTCTGTCTGTGACAGGGTGTTCATAGAATTTTCGTGAAACTAACAGATCGGGAGGCCTGGCCCTGTGGTGAGAAATAAACTAAGAAACAGAATGGGAAATTGTTACATCAAAGCTGCTGTGTCAGGAAGTGGCTCTTTAAATTCCCATCACTCAGAGCTCAGAAAAGAATGCACAACAAAACACCAGGGCTTCTAGCTCAAAGCAAGAATAATTAGAGATCAAGAAATTGGGTTACGGCTTAATGATAAGAGAAGTGCCAAGTTCCTAGAAAAGTTAATCCCCACCTTGAGCAAATTCCCTACCACTTTCGTGACTACAAAAAGGTGATCATGATTAAAACACACAAATACACACATGGCATATCCAGTGCTCAGAGGTACATTTTTCTGATAAAGTTTCTTTCTTAGCACAAAAAGCAATAACAACAACAAAAACCACACCTATGTTTCAGGTGGCATCTATTTAATAAACAAAATCCATCAAGCATCTGGGGTCTGGGATCCATTTTGCTTCCTCATTTTTTTTTTTTAACTTTTGCATGTATGAGTGCAGTTGCCCTTGGACTTCAAATTCAGATGAGGGCATGGGATCCCCTGAAACTGGAGCCACAGGCAGTTGTGAGCTGCCAGGTGTCAATGCTGGGAACCAAACTTGGGTCCTCTCCGAGAGCTATGTGCCCTTAGCCCACAAGCCTCTCCAATCCCCATCTTCACTTTTCTCTTTGCAGATGTATCTGCCCTGACAAAATGCCATGAAGACATACTGAAGCCCCCTAATGCATTTAAACATGCATGTCCTAACCATGACTTAACATGTCCAAAAGCACTTTAATCTGCCAGTACAAATGAATTTGCCAACCTTTTTTCCTAGGCAGCCTTTCAATATGGCTCAAGTTCTCTGTCAAGAGAAGTACACCATAAGAACAGCGTAGGGAATCAGGGGTAAAGACACCAGGCAGTCTTCCTAGTGCAAGGGCTTTCTTTCAGTACTGCAAATGAAACAGATGTTTCCATTTGGCCAGATATCTGCTGCTATAAGAAATGGCTGGGTTAGGATACTCCAGTTTCAAGCAGTTTGCCAGTGGAGATGGTCCAGGGTCTGTCTCTGCATCTGTGTGAAATACTTGTTTTCTAAAATTTAAGTGCTCACACCCAGATGGCCCATAGCCCATGATCCCTGTGCATTCCTGCTCTGCAATTACACTGGTGACTCTCAGCCACAAACTGTTCTGCAGGACAGGAAGCACCAAGGATTTACAGCATTGGCATTTCTGTGTGTATGAGAACCTGTGACCCTAGCCTTTTCCTCTGTCTGTGGCTTTCTGTTGAGAATCCCAGGAGAAATCTCCTGCTGGGACCTGGTGGACTGGCTATCCCATGTGGGGTGGTTTGAGGAAAAAAGTATGTAGGAATTACAAGATGGAAGATAATAATATGAATAGTTTGCCTGCCTTGGAAACTAAAAAAGCTGTCCAAAATATGTGAGTAAATGTCCTTTAAATACTTTATTGCATTTTTTAAAATCTGTGTGTGTACACATGCCCCACTCAACAGCACCTGTGTGAGGTCAGAGGACATATTGGTCAGGCTTGGCTGTAGGCACCTTTACCCAATGAGCCAATCACCAGCCAATAAACTCTCTTTTTGAACATTTAAAAAAAATAGTAGAATGGGAAGGGGTGCTAGAGAGATAGCAGGGGTGGGGGTAGGAAGCAGGGTGCTGGAGAGATAGGTCAGTGGTTAAGAGTACTGGCTGCTCTTCCAGAGGTCCAGAAGCAACCACATGATAGCTCACAACCATCTGTAATGAGATCTGATGCCCTGTTCTGACTTGCAGGGATACATGCAGGAAGAACACTATTCACAATAAATAAATAAATCTTAAAACAAAACTAGCAGAGTCACCATTAGGGAAGGAGATGCCATTCCATCCTGGCTTGTGTAGGTCTTCTAATCCCTGTAGAGCCCAGGAGCTTTCAATAAAGGTTCTGCACCGCCACTCAGACCTGTTTTGTTTGCTTCTTGGTTGCGTTTGGGTTTGGGTTTGGTTTGGTTTTTTGTGTGTACTTGTTTGGGATTTGTTTTTCGTTTTTGTTTTGTTTTTTGGGAGGTAGGATCTCACATAGCTCATGATAACAACGAACTTAATATGTAGCCAAGGGTGTCCTTGATCTCCTGATCCAACCCTCACCACCTCCCCAATGCAGTGCTTACAGTGTGTGTGCTGGGAGGGGGGCTGCTTTATTTTGGGGTCAACAAGCAACCAGGAACTGATGTTCTTTTAACCTCCCTCCTCTTGCATTTTGCTCTCCAGCCCATTTTTGGAGTTCAGCAGCAAGTGGCAAGGCAAGCCAAGGCTTTCCTGTCCCTGGGGAAGATGGCCGAGGTGCAGGTGAGCAGACGCAAGACGGGCGGTGAGCAGTCCTGGCTGTGGTTTGCCACAGTCAAGTCGCTCATCGGCAAGGGCGTCATGCTAGCCGTGAGCCAGGGGCGTGTGCAGACCAACGTGCTCAACATCGCCAACGAGGACTGCATCAAGGTGGCCGCGGTGCTCAACAATGCCTTCTACCTGGAGAACCTACACTTCACCATCGAGGGTAAGGACACTCACTACTTCATCAAGACCACCACGCCCGAGAGCGACCTGGGCACGCTGCGGCTGACGAGTGGCCGCAAGGCGCTGGAGAATGGCATCAATGTGACGGTGTCGCAGTCTACCACAGTGGTAAACGGCAGGACTCGCAGGTTCGCCGATGTGGAGATGCAGTTCGGTGCTTTGGCGCTGCACGTGCGCTACGGCATGACGCTGGATGAGGAGAAGGCGCGCATCCTGGAGCAGGCTCGCCAGCGCGCTCTCGCCCGGGCCTGGGCGCGCGAACAGCAGCGCGTGCGCGACGGCGAAGAGGGCGCGCGCCTCTGGACGGAGGGCGAGAAGCGGCAGCTACTGAGCGCCGGCAAGGTGCAAGGCTATGATGGGTACTACGTACTGTCGGTGGAACAGTACCCTGAGCTGGCTGACAGCGCCAATAACATCCAGTTCCTGCGACAAAGCGAGATCGGCAAGAGGTAACCCCCGGGCCACCCCTGCACAGAGTCTCCTGTAGCACAATCTGAAGCGGACTCTCCAAAGAGCCTTCCAGAACGACACTGCTCTGCAGACACACACACCACAGACACACATGCGACACAAACCAGAAACAAAGACAACTTTTTTCTGAATGACCTTAAAGGTGATCGGCTTTAAAGAATATGTTTACATATGCATATCGCTGCACTCATTTGGACTGGAAGTATAAGAAGGAAAAAAAAAAAAGCATTAACGAGGCCACGTTTTGCCGTGGCCCTCTGTACCCTTCGAGACACTGTATTTAAGAAAGGTTTTAAAAAGAAAAAAGAAAAAAAATGCGTACAATGTTTCCAGATATTACTGAATTGTCGACCTTTGCTTACAGGAAGTAATCTCTACTTAGGATGTGATATACATAGATCTGTTCACTTTAAAATGTGGGGCAAAGTTACTGTTTATAGAACCCAACTGCTTTCCCGTGCTGCTTTGTAAAAGGACATCGGCACCAGGGACGTCTGCTTCGGCGGGGATTTAATAATGGATTTTACTAACATGGCTTACCCTGGGAGGGAAAAACTGACAAATAGAATCCTTGTCACTGATAAGCAAAGGAAACCCTGATTTTTTTGTAAATTATGTGAGACAAGTTGTTTATGGATTTTTATATGAATTACAATTTACTGTACATCAAATATTAGTCTCAGAGGAGTTAATTTATGTAAAGTGTTTAAAAAGTTTATACTTAAAAATAAAACGATAAAAACATGTGAACTGTGTGATTTTTTTAAAAGGATTGCACCTTTTGTTATCTGTTATAACTGTACAGTATAACTTATTATATTGTAGAGATATAACAACTTATGCCTATAATGTCCAGAAGTGTTAATATTTTTGTATTAGGTTAAAAAACAAAACAAAACAATGTGCAACTTTCTATCACGTAGATGGATAGGACTGTGCAATCCTAAATGGGTGGCTAATCAGAGAACTCCTTTCTCTTCCTTCTCTTTCTCATCTAGCCAATGTCCTCAACCATGGTCAATCAAGAGGCACAGTAGATACCCAAGGCTGGTGAATGTGACAGAAGATATGGGGAGGGGGAACAAACCAAAAACAACACAAGGGGGAGAACTGGTTCTCTGACCCTCTCTAGACCCTAAAAGTCAAGCTGACTTAATTGACCAGAGCTTGTAATATTGTATTATTGTCCCTCAATGCTCCATTGCACGATGGATGGATGGAGGGAAGAGACCACAATCTGATGCTCGGAAACATTTGTGGGGAGGGAAGGATTTTGATGTCATGGTAACCATGAACGTGTATCTTAATGTCTAGGAGAGATAGCAGACACCGAGCAATAGTGAGCCAGGGGACCCAGCCTGACAAGGTCACCCTCATGAGTCTTGGAGTTGGACCCTTCGGTCAGCAAGTGGGACCAATCAGGAAGGCAAGCTCCTGTAAGCCCACATGGCCCCACCATCACAGGGCCTTATTTGAGTGGCAGCCTGTGCTGGCCAGGGGAAGCCTGGGGTGGTGGGTGGTGTAGGAAAGAAACTGACATCAGTACCCCTGACTGCAAGCTTGGGGTTCCACCACAGATACCACCTGCACTTCTTGTGCCAACCCAGCCGCTCTGACGAATCTTTCGTGAGCACTGAATTCAGCCACACACACACACACAAAAAAAAAAAATATTTTTAGAAGATATTTCTCAGTTCATTGAGCTATAGTATGCACTGTTTTCCTCTATGTATAATGGTGATAAATATAGCAAGTGAACATGTCGTAAATATAAAGGTTCAAGTGATGTATTGAAAATAATTTTCTAACTGCTTTGTATGTATCACATACTCTAAACTGCACAGTAGGCGTGTTATCGAACATTGGCTGGGAAAGCTTCGAAATAGCTACTGAATTTACAGTCTCAGTGCTATTCCTGTCGCTGTGTATGTGGTAGAGATTACCGGAGTAATTAATCTTCTAATGAATGCTGATATTTTATTAGAATGAAAGCACAGATTAGCATTAATATTTTTTATCCTGGAAATCCTTTGGCAAGTACTAGGAAGCCCAAATTTAGAAAACTATGAGATTTCAAACCACGTAAACATGGCTCTGTTTGACATTTTATTTTCTAACTGTTAACTTAGGTGTTCGCAGTTCTGTTGACTGGGACGTCGGCAGGACTGCATTTAGCATGCTGTAAGTACTTTTGGGTGAAATAGGCTCCAAGTCTAAATTCTCAGAAATGTCTGTGATGTATTGGCCATGAAAAGCATACCACATGGCGGAAGTGAAATTGTACTCTTACCATCTTCTCACCGTGGACTGGTCTTTACAGGGGCACCAATAAATGACAGATTTGGAGAGTCTCCTGGTGCTTATTTTAGAAGAAGTCAAATCAACCCAATTAGTGTCTTGTTAGTACGTATAATGAGCCTATTTCTTTCTAAAAAGGCTTGTGGTCTGGACGTGCTTTTACAAGAAATAGTGACCTTGGGGAATATGTAAACACACGAGATCTTTTTCTAAGAGTTGGGGGGAGGGAGGTTGGGGGACTGTATAATGACAAGAATTAGCTTACAAAAACAAAAGAAATTGATATTCAAAGTATTTTAGGCAAAGCCAGTCAAAATGCTTTCATGATATTTTGAGATGTAAATTTTTGTCTGATTTGTATTGTTCTTTTCATTTGCCTTCTTAACTTTATATGTGACCTGAATTTTCCATAACTTGATGACTATAGATTGCATCTAGGCATTCCAATAAAAGCCAACCCAATGTGTGTGTGTTTATATTTTTTTTTTTTTTCAAATCTTGGACTAGCCAGAATTGCCTTTATGTTTGCCATGGACACAAAAGGAGGCAAAACTCAGGGTGCTGATTGAGCTGCGACCCAACTGATGAGAGCATTTATTACCAGTTTTGACTTCCTGTTTTGTTCTTGTATTTAGTGTCAAAACGACAGCTGGGAAGAGCGCCCTTCACAGAGGACCTTCCTCTGGCCTACTGTAGAAAACTGTTAGTTATGCCTCCACAAAGCCAAACACAATTGGGGCGGGGGTTCACCCATTACTACTGAAAAGCAGGTCTCATTCCTGTGATGCTGGTATTGAGTGTGCTTAATTAAAACACTTGATTAGAATAATCAGGTTGGGCCTGATAGGTTCTGAGCCTCCTGGAGATGTCTAAATCTACATATAGACCGACTGATTAGGGTTTGCTTTGTTCTGCGATTCAAGGTTGACAGGCCAAGGCTTTGATTCTAGTGTGAAAAAGGCAGAATTTCCCTTGCTTGCTTTACATCAACCTCAACTCGATACCTTGTGGATGTTAGAGGAATCGGGTCACTCCACTTGGCTACAGGGCCTAGTTTCTTAAATCAGAGTTTAATATGCTCAAAACACAGGAGCTCAGAAACAAAAAAACACCGTGTGTTCCAACCTTTCCTCTCCAGGGACATTAGTGGAAGCAAATTTTAGATAATGACCTGGGTACCGGATGTGCCACTCCCACAGTGGTGTGTGCATTTGTGTTTACACTCATTGCATATTACCCTCGAGCCCTCAAAGGAAATGATGATGAAAGATCCTGCCTCCAAAGCCCTAGCCATGCCCACTCCTCTCCAGGTTCATCTTTTCTTTTGTCTCAGCTGAGCCCAGATGCAGACATTCCTCTCACCTGGTAAATGGCTCTGGCTCCCCTCTTTAAGGGAGATGCTTTTGGGAATAAAGGAGTCCAGAAGAGGGATCCTGAAGGCACTGATCCATGACATGCTCTGTGACAAACACCACCTGAGCAGTCCTCGGAGCTTGCTATACTTATAGGACACAGCGCATCCATGAAATGCCACCACCCAACACAGGAGGGATGGAATGACATTTAGGCTCCTGAAGAGTGAGGCAAGACCTCTGGAAAGCCGTGAAGGGCAGCTTAGCAAAATCATACCCCTTCCACAGATCCCCAAACTCTATCATACTGTCCTGCAGAAAAGTGAACTCAGCCTAACGCTCCAGTCCACAGCCACGCAGTAAATTCTAGAAGGTGAGGGAGAAGGAACTTGGAGAAATTTGAGTGAGTTGTCCAAGTAGTGTGGAAGGAGATGGAGCCAAAGTGAGCAGATTCTCTGTCAGGTAGCAGCCCTTCCTGACATATGTAATCTCCTGATAGCATTCCCCAGAAGGTTCTGGAGATGTTACCACCCTTGTTTGCACAGGTCATTCAGATGTGTGCTTTATGCTCCCTTCTAGCTGCCAATATTTCTAGCTTCACTCCCTCGTGCAGAGAAGCAAGTCTCCCATGCAATGTCAATGGATGCCCATCATTTCTAGATGAATGACAAGATTTTTCCATAAGTCATCCCACCAAGGCCATAGAATAAATTAGAAGTCATTTATGTTGTTCCTACTCACCTTAACCACAGTAATAAGCAGGAGAACCAAAGAGGTACTGATACACTGCTGGAATTTTCCACCCTCTGATTCAGGCCACATAATGAATATCCTCTGTTGCCAACTTTCTCATTTGTTATTCACTACCTCTGCAAGCGATGGTCTCTTGATGTCAGTTAATTACTAATAAACTTTTAGGTAGATTGAGTAAACCTTTTCATTTATGAACCGACTTAAAATTCTGTCATGGAGGAATACAGAATTCCTAGAGCCCTGTGTATAGAGAATTTGCTACAAACCAATGCTGAGCCTAAAGTAACATCATTATTCAGTTTAGAGTTAATGGGCTCCACAAAGCAAATTTAATAAATCCTTCTGGGATCTAAGCAGAGGAAAATTAAAATTAGAGGTATAAATTGTGACTTGTAGGGCAAGAGAGTGGCTTGGTTGCAGTCTTCCTGCTAGGGAAAATTGTGAACGGCCACCGGCATTCGGCCTGCACTAGGAAGGGAGATCACAAGGTTTTGCACACGTGTAGAGCTTTCCAGAATTCCACCCACAATGGCTATTTCCATCTGACTCAGCTCACTTCATAGAACTGAGTGGTCTGCTGGGCAAAAAGGAAGTTGCTAAAACTTTTGCAAGTTGACTTTTATGAAGGTGAAGGGAACATAAATGCCCAAAGAGGTAAAATGGCAGGTTCTTTGACATGAGGGGAGGCTGAAAATAGAACTTCTCAGAGAAAGTCTGAGGGAGCACACCAACTAGCTCTCCCACCTCAGGTTCTTGTCACACAATGATTAGCAACTGCATAAGGGACAGTCCACCCCACCCCAAACTGTCCTCCAAAATAAATGGATAGGAAAGTCGATTCTCTACCTATTGCAGAAAAGACACCTTGAAAATCGTTCCCGGGTCTCCTGTCTCTACATCCCCCCTCTTTCTTGTCTTACTCCTCTTTCTGGAATGACCCCAGCAAGAGCTTCCTGGGATGTGACCAAAAAGACTGGTCTGCTTCTCTTCCCCTTAGGAGGAAAGACATGCTGGTCCATTGAGAAGCCATGTGATCTTAACTGCTGGGCATATCATAGCGAAGTTGTCTTTTATTCCCCAACTTATTGACAAAAGGTTATAAGCAGGCAGGTTTCAAAGTCTCACTTCAACTGTGATATCTCCAAGGTCAGTCCTGAGATTAACGCATCATTCTCAAGCACTGACAAGTGACACTGCAAAGTACAGACGAGGGGAGGGAGGAAGTGGTGGGACAACCCAGCTCTCTCGAGGCAGAGAAGGGAGAGACCATCTTTCCACAGATCGGTCCCCCATTTCCGTCTTGCCTTTCCCCCCTTCAGCTTTTCAGGACTCTGGCTTCTTTGGGAGGGAGAGCCTGTCCCCAACATCTGGTGACACCCTAGAGGAGTGAGCCTCAGCAGAGACATAAAGGGCTCTTGCGCCCCCTAGCGATGGGCGCCTTAAGGTGCCGACAGCCTGTGCTAACGCTGCAGCAAGATCCAGGCCAAAAACAGACAAAACATAAAATCAACGGGAGGTCTAAGGCCTCCCTCTACCCTTTTCCGGATGGGCCTATTCTAACGACCCTCTCTGGTCCCATTCTGCTCTGCCCACAGACCTGCACACAGAAGACGATTCCTTCTGCTTCATGTGCCGCCTCGCTGAGGCCTGGTCCTAGCCATCCTCACTCCCTTAAGATTTCCCCTCAAGCCAAGCAGAAACTCTGTCAAGCCATGTTCCTCTCGCCTGGCAGATCAAAAGAAGGCCCTTCCTCCCAGGCGTTGTCCGCGGGCTATCTGAGCTCCGCAGCCCACTCAGAACAATGATTTCTGAAGTACATTGTTTACCTTCTTCTTTCCATGTTAACAGCCGTGTTGCTGGGAAGACCTTCCCAGAAGGACAGGTCGTTTAAATTCAGAGTGGCATTTTTATTTCTGCCCACGCTGAGCTCTCACAGAAAGTGCTAGTATGACAGGCAGCCTGGAAAAAGCAAACTTCTGATTCCACCAGTCCCTTCCTCCCTTGGGGTGGTTTCACTGCCAGGGTGAGGGGGGAGGGGAATGGACTTTCAACCTTTATTCCTGGGTTGTCAAACAGAGAAGCCAGTAGATGCTGAATGTAAGTGACAACATATCCCTACCTGCAGAGATCAGCCCTGGGTAGGTAGAACCTATTGATATTTCTGGAGGCTCCTTGGGGACCCAGATATGTAGATCCATTTTCCCACTTTCTCTCTGAGACAAGGAAAGGAGACCAAAGATGGCATGTGGAAGTCAAAATATCATGAAAGATCTGAAAAGGTGAAACCCTACAGCTGCATGAGAAGATTAAAAAAATGGAGAACAAACGATGTCCAGATTAACAGAACATCCTACCCTCCCATGACAGTACCACCAGGCCAGGCAAGCTGTGTGTAGAGGGGAGGGGGCAAATATGTCAGGCTTGTATCTTCACAGTTCATCAGTAAGGGTCCCTCAGGTGCCCCTGGGAGCTGGAATGTCGGGGAGAGACAGTCATAGGCTACGAGCACATGGTCACACATACAACTTGCACACACCCAGAGTGCTAGGCAGCCAGTTTTTGCAACTGGATCAGGAGTATCAGTCCTGGTCTTGGGCCCCTGTTTTTACCTGCTGTTGAAGCAATGGCTGGCTGCATTCTTTCATGTTGCTTCCCTCATCTGGCCTCTGCCAAGGGATATGTGGGTCCTGCACACACAGACCCTTCCTGCTCCAGCAGCTGTGTTTCTTTTTGGTGGCTGCTTGGGAACCAGCCCTAAGACCCAAGTGGCTGTCTCTTAAATACAAGCTGGCAGCATTCCAGATTCTGAGGTCCATGTCATAAATCTGCACTCTGTTGGAGTTCTCCACTCTTGTTCCCAGACCCCCCTCACCCACCGTCACACCTAAAAGGCAGTGTGCTAAGCCAGTAGTAAGGGCAAGGGAGGCAGGCTCCAGCTTGGGGCTCTTTGAAGGCAACAGGTCCCCAATTACTTCCTGCTCATTAAACTGTGGACGTAGCCTTGCCTGGCTCTTGTAAATCAAAGAAAACACGGCTAGCCTTGCCATACCCAGGCTTTCTCTGCAGCCTCCGCCAATTAGCACTCTAGTTAATCAAACTTTAGAAAGTCCCTGGAGGGGTGGGGAAACTGGGAGCAGTCCAGAGCAGAAAAGACCCATTTAGTCTCAGCTCCGCCAGGTTGAAGGTAGAAACAGTCAGTTTTCTCCATCTTTAAAGTGGGCCACTCAGTACTTCCCATAAGCTCTGTGTGTGTGTGTGTGTGTGTGTGTGTGTGTGTGTGTGTGTGTGTGTGTGCGCGCGCGCGCGAGCACGCACGCACGTGCATGCACACATGTACAAATAGAAAAGAGGATGGGCAGAA